AGGTACAGCGTGGCTTTGGCGGTTCAGGTGTGGGCAGCGGGGCAGGCCGGGACATGCGGATCCCGGCTTCTGTCTGAGAAGCCTCAGAACAGAACCTGTTGGAGCTGGTGGCTTGTTTGGGTGTGTTGGGAGTGTATATAACTTGGGCAACACATCCCTTTTCCTCCCCGGGCCTCAGTTTCCCCAACAGTGAAGGGAGGAGGGAAATCAGCCGCCCTGAGAGGCCTCTTCAATCTCTCAGCGGCCTAGATTCTAACACTGTAAGGAGCTTGAGATTGTCCCAGAGCCCCAAACCTTCAGCTTGAGAGTCTACTGTTGGAAAGTTCTGTGTCCCAGATTCTGTCTTTGGAACATTCTAGAAGTCTCCAATTGGGCTAGCCTGGGTTGCCCATCCCCCTGCACTACGTTCACTCTATCCGAGGACCTTGCTGTCCGAAAAGTCTGAGTGGCGGCGGGGTGTGGCGCAGTGGCCAAGAGCAGAAGGAAGGAGCCAGGCTTCCAGGGCCCTGAGCTGGTGGCCCCACTGCCCCACCCTGACAAGGCTGCCTGGGTCTCCTGATCTATAAGATGAAGAGGAACAGCGGTCTACCCCCGAGAACCGTGGTGAGGACCACACCGGCCAGAAGGTGCCAAGAGGAATTAAAGCCTCAGGGGGCAGAGACTACGGAAGTCAAAACTCGGGTCTTTTAGAATCTCAGAGAGACACAGGAAACATTCTGTAGGTGTTTGGTAAAATATAGGATCGATTCTATGCAGCCCCCGGTGCCAGCACTGAAGGCAGCGAGCGGTTCTTTGGGGGATGTCATGTTTTCCAGATTTCTAAGACTCGCAGGTCCCACGCTGACGTCCTCTGGCTCGGAGGAAATGCCTAGGCTGGGTGTGGGGCCAGACCCGAGGCTGGTGCGGACCGAGGCGTAGCCGCGGCCGCCAGGGGGCGCTCCGGGTGACGGCCCGACCCCCAGCCCAGCGGGAGGACAGCTCCTGAGCTCAGACCCCGGGAATGCGCGGCGGGTCCGGGCAGGTGCGAAACCTCCCGAGGCAGGGGAGCAGGGGTCGGGCGGGGCGGGCGGTGCCTCTGCTCCCAGGCCCTTGCCCTCCACCCCCAGGTCCTCTCCAACCAACCCCCCTCGCTTCCGCTTCTCCCCTCCCATCCGCCCCGAGTTCTCCTTTCCAGGCCTTCTCTGCACCCTAGGCAGGTTCTTTGGGTTAAGAATCCAGACAGGAGGGAGGGAGTCGGCGCTTCCTGGGGGAATCATCCTCGATAGAAACCAGGTCAGAGTGCCAGGCTGGCCTGGGAATACCCAGACTGTAATCCTACAGCTCTGTGCGCTCCGAATGAGGCTGGCAGTATCCCCACCCTCTCTGGGACTCGGTTTCCCCCTCTGGAGCCAGCTGTGGAATGCGCTAGGATGTCCCCTCTATAACCCTCTGTGCCTCAGTTTCCTCGTATGTATAATGGGGGTTTAAACCTTCACCTCAAAGGGTGTGAGATTTGAGTAACATCATTTAGGTACAGTGTTTATTTTAGAAGGGTGCAGGGTGCCAAATGAAGTTCACACACGCAGGACTCTTCATTACGGTCTTCCTGTGCTGGTCATTTAGAGTGAGGGCTCAATGCCCAAAGCACTATTTTTCTCCCAAAAAGGGCTCTTTCAACTCTTTTTGAGATTCTAAAAGCCCTGTTTTTTTTTTTTTTTTTTTTTTTATCTCTGGAGTCTTGACTTCCTGAGCCCTTAAGCGCCCCACGTACATTCCTGAGTCCTGGCCAGGGGTCATCCACAACAATTTAAGTACAGGGACACGAGGAACCCTGGAAGGTTCCAGAGAGAAGGTGGCAAAAGCCCAGGGTGTGGGCTGTGTCTGCTCTCCAGCCTCAGTTTCCCCACCGGAGTAGGGAGAAGTCATTCCCTGAGGTGGGGGGGGGGGGCGGTCAGCAAACCTCACTGGAAATGACAGCTCTGAACAGTGGCCCAGGACAATGGGAACCATCCGGTCCACCCAGCCGCCCCGGGCCTGGCGTGCGTGAGCTCTGTCTTGGCAGCGGTGGTTATTATTGTTAATGTCCTCAAAGGCTATCACCAAATGCCCGTCAAGCCCAAGGCTTTTAGGAAGTTCTCTCTGCTCTCTTCAGAGCTCCGGGTCTCCCCCCCCCCCACCCCTTGTTCAATCCCTTCACGCGACACTTGGGGGTGGAGAGAAGGGGAAGACAGAGGGAGGTGCCGGCCCCACCCTCTCCCTGCTTCAAGGACAGACACACGCCTCCAGAATTAGCCTCTACCCCTCCCTTATCTCCCACGCTACCTCAGGTCAGAGAGATAGGGGTGGAGGTGACATTTCTCATTTCGGGGTCAGGGCGAGGAACCCCTATGAGGGAGAAGGTTAGTCAGAAAATCTGGTGGGAATGGATGGAATTGCGCACCCCAGAGAGCTGCGGAGGGAGAGGGACCCAAACCTTCAGCCCCTCTCAACTCTGACCTCTAAGCCTCGATTTACTTCCATCCTCTCTGGTTAACGACTGTGTACTGGCCGGCCATACAAGCCTCCCAGAATCCAACCCCACCTTCTGGAATTCTGCCCCACAGTTCTATCTGGAACGCCTGGCCTCTGCAAACCCCAGCTGTCTCCCACCTCCATGGGGCAATCGGCGGCACCACGCCCGTGCCAGGGGGCGCTCTGGGGCGGAGGTCCCTTCTCTGGTTAGGCAGGTCTGACGCCTGGGTTAATGACATGTTGGGAATCACCCAGCGGCACAGAAGGGGTTGTAGAGCTGCCCCTGTCCTCCCCCCACCCCTGCTAGCCCCCAGCCCAGAGCCGGAAAGGGCTGGAGGGGGGCAGGGACACAGTCTGCGGACGGTGGTATTCGTCTTGCTCCATTTCAGCGACCCAGGTTGCACTATCCCTACCCCACCCCTAAGTCTTCTCGGAGACCTACAGGCTCAGTGGAGAACAGGAGAGCAGTAGGGATGGCCGCCCAGTTCCAGAGCCCCAGCCATCTGAGCCTCCCATTTCTGTCCAAGACTCAGGCATCTTCTACCCAATTCTACTCAAGGACTCAGAGTTCCGAGAGCCCCCAGTTCGGGGAGCTCGGGCGTCCCAGCCCTAACACACTCCAGGACCATGGCGACCCAGCCCTCTATTCCCAAAACTCCCTCAGTACATCGAGTATCCGAGTTCTCTCCTTCCACGCACCCTGGCGTGTGCGCACCCCTAATTCCGCGCTGGGACCCCGCGTCCGAGTCCCCTCCCAGTCCTTCCAGAGACGCGGGTGTCTGCTCTCCCAGAGCCGCTGGACCCCATGGGGTGGAACTCACGGATCCGGGGCAGATCCTGGCACCAGGGGGGTTCCTCCGGCTCCGGCTCCGACTCCGGCGGCGGGGAGCGGAGGACGGGGCGGGGCAGGCTCCGGGAACAGGTTAGACAACGTGACTTGGGCTGAGGGAGGCGGGTCCCAGAGGGGCGGGGGAGCCGGGGTCGCCTCGAGCACCTTGGGACTTGTAGTCCCGGAGGAGCAGGGCGCAGACTGAGCCATTCCCATTATTAGCAGTCAAGTGAAGTCCATTTCACAGACAGGAAGGGCGAGGCCCAGAAGCCTAGGGCGACCTGGCCACGGAAATGGAGTCCAGCCTTCTACCTCTCTGCGGCTGCGGGTGACGAACTCCCGAGTCCCTGCCCATCCCTCCCGGCTCACTTTCCTCCTTCTTTTATGAAGATTTGCACACCACCAAAGGAGTAGAAGGTTAGAGGCTGGGAAAGACGCACACGCCACGCCCCTAGAAAGAAAAGAGAGCCTCGCTAAATCGGTATCCCCTCGGGCCTCTGAGCCTCAGTCTCCCAATCGGTAAAAAGGGTGGGTTGGTCTTTACAGGATTTCCCAGCGGCGGCGCCCAAGGCTGGGGCTACAATTCCTAGCAGGTCCGGACGTAGGCGTGGCACCTCTCTTCCTCGCGTCCTCTGGGAATTGTAGTCCGGGAGCCCGGAGGAGCGAAGTCCCCGTGTTTCGCCCACGCGCGGGAACTCTCCCGCGACCCCAGGATGACCCTCCCTCCGCTCTGGGAAGCTGCCGTCTTTGAGAAGAGGGGTACCCCAATTCAGGAGTAGGATCCGAAATCTCGGCAGAGGGGGCGGGAAGCGGCGCTGACACACCGGCTAGGAATGCGGTTGGGTCACCCTGTCTAGCCGCTGTCTCCCGGCTCCGCCCGCCGCCCCACGCGGTGCAGTAACTGTCGGAAGGGGCGTGGACGCGTCCCCCAAATCTGGGCCCACGTGTAGCTGTTTACACGCGCCCCGGGTCCAGGAAGGGGCTCTGATCCACTCCCTCTCCCTTCTTCAAGGCCTTCGGGAATGTGTCCCCCGCACGTGACTAAATCCTCTGGGACATCTACCCCTCTCGCTAGACCCCCAAGTCCTACCCTTCAGCCTGCACGGCCCCCCTCGAGACTGGTTACAGTCTGGAGGCTCTGCCCAGAGACCAACTGGCTCCGCCCCCTATGTTTCCCGCTTCTCCAGATCCAGAAGCCCCGCCCCTGGGTGATAAATCAAGCCTTCCGGAGAAACGACCTCTTTCCTCCATTTCCCCACTCCTCCCACTGAAGTTCTTAACTTCCGAGGCATTTGGGCCTCCCCAGAAAGGACTGTAATTCAGAAAGCACAGCCATACCAACCAAGACTCTTACCTATCTCTTTAAGGATTTCGGACCAATCGACCTTCCTGTCTCTTTAAGAGTTAGGTCCTATCAATGTGACTGCCCCTTTAAGGCGACGTTGGCGTAAATAATGTCTGCGAGGCTAAGGGAGATTCCCGCCGGGACCAGGTGAGGCTCTGCCTCCCGCTAGACTTCGGGTCAGCTGCTCTAGCGAGCAAATTTACAGCAAAAGACGTCCTCCTCGGTTGTCTGCTCCGCACAGAGGGAAATTTCCCTCAGTTCTGCTCTCAGAGCGCAGGAGCTGCGAGCGACTCCCCTGCGCTCGGGCGCTCGGTCGGCGCTTCCGAGCGAGTCGCCACCCCTTTGGTTCCACGTGGTCCGCAGCGGCGGGCCGGGGCGGCTCTGGCTGAGGGTGCTGCGCGAGTCGTGGGCACCGGCATGGCAGGGACCCCGTCCGGCGGTGAGTGGCTTCGGACAGGGCCGACGGGGTGCAGAGGGTGGCGGGAGGAGAAAGGGGAGGCCGGATGGAAAAGGGGGCATTTCCGGAAATAGGACGTGTGGAAAGCATGCCCTGTGGAAGAAGGGAACGGGAGGGAGTCCGGGCGGAGAAAGGATATTTGGGGGGTGGGGGGACTACCAGTGGAGAGAAGGGTCCCCCAGGGGTTGAATCAGTGGAGATGGAAGGATTTCCGGGGAACAGATCGGCGGAGGGGGGAGACCAGGTGAGGCGCTCAAGAGGTTGAGCGCAATGGACCGACAGGCACCCAGGAGGATCAGACTGCCAGGAAACGTGTCAGTACACCCTCGTTTCCCCTTCTGCAGGTACTGCTCGGTTCTCTTGTCCCCCCAACTTTACTGCGACGCCCCAGGCCTCAGAGTCCACTCGTTTCTCCTTGGAGACGCTGACGAGCCCAGATACGGAACTGTGGCTTATCCAGGCTCCTGTAGACTTCGCCCCAGACTGGTGAGTGGTCGGTCCCATGCCACCTCCCTGGAACACTCCCCACTCCAGTAGCTGAACTTGGGGGAACTGTAGAGGGGCTTATCCTAAGGAACGTAGACAAGCTGCTTCGCAGCTCCTTTCCCCTGTGCCACCAATAGAACCTGAACCTGCCCTTCTGCTTTCTCCTTGCAGCCTCAATGGGCGGCTGGTGCCTCTCTCTGGCTTCCAGGTTGTGAAAGGCAAGGTGGCAGGGAAGCGGCACCGCTTCCGGGTCCTCAGCAGCAGCAGCAGCCCCCAAGCTGGAGAAGCAACTCTGCTGGCCCCCTCCGCGGAGGCAGGAGGCGGGCTCACCTGTGCCCCCGCCCCCAAGGGCAGCCTAAGGATCTTAGAGGGTTCCCACCCATCCCTATCAGGGACCCTACTGTACCCCATTCCCACAAGCCCTCCACCACAGATTCCCCCTGGCCTGAGGCCTCGGTTCTGTGCCTTTGGAGGCAGCCTGCCAGTCACAGGGCCAGCATCAGCGGTGGCACTGAGGTCTCTGGCCTCGGGAAAGAGGAAAAAGAAGAGGCACATGCTTGAGGCCTCCATTGCCCAGGAGGCAGTGGATGGGCATGGGACCCTGGAGGTGGACACAGCCTGGGGGTCCTCGGAGATGGATGTGGGGAAGAGGAAAAAGAAGCAGCAGCAGTTGAATGAACTGGAGGTGACGATGCCGGTGGCAACAGAGCCAACGGCTGAGATGCTGGAACCCCTGGGCGTGCCATTCCCATCTGCCAGCAAGAAGAAGAAAAAGAAGCCTAAAGGGATGGAAACAGCGATGCCGGAGCCAGAAGAAGAGAAGACTGTGGAGCTGGAACTCACAGTTAAAACCGAGCCTCTGCAAGATACAGTCCTGTCCCCCACCAAGAAGAAGAGACAGATAGGGACAGAAAGGATAGAGCCAGTGGAGGGGGAGAGGGTTGAGCTACAGGTGAAGGAGGAACCTCAGGAGGAAGCCATCCCACTGCCATCCTCCAAGAAAAAGAAGAAAAAAGGAAAGGAGTGCAAAGCGCTGATGGAGCTGGGGGCTGAGGCTATGGAGCCGGATGGGAGACCTCTGGGGGCCTGGGGGGAGATGGAGCCTGAACCAGCACATGAGATTGAGCCATGGGCTGAGGCGGCTCTGGCACCCACCAAAAAGAGGAAGAAAGAAAAATGGCAAAACACAATGATGGAACCAAAGACACAGGTGGTGGAGCCCCAGCTGCCAGGTGACCTTGAGCCTCAGGCAGCACAAGCATCCACCAAGAGGAAGAAGGACAGAGAGCACAGAGCGACAGAGCCAGGGCTTCAGACTGCTGACCCACAGGGCAAGGCGATGGAGCCTGAGGCCAGGGCAGATCCAGCATCCACCAAGAAGCAGAAGAAGCGGCGCTTGGAAAGCGAGGTGCCAGCGACAGCTTCCCAGGAGGAGATGCCAGAGCTGCCACTGAACCCGGAGTCTGGGGAGGTGGCACCCCCGGGACGGGAGAAGAAGCGGAAGAAGAAGCTTCTGCAGGATCCTGCATAGTCTCCTGGGAAACAGACCACTGCTAAGAAAAGCCGAGGTGGCCACTGGGCCATCAGAGGACGAGAGCAGAGCACGCCTTCCGGGGGTGGTACCAGCACAGCCACAAGAGCCTGGACCAGGGAAACACTTTATTGTGACTGACACACACGGCCTCCCTTGCAGTGGAGGTCACCGGGGCACTTTCAGGAAAGGCTCGTGTAGGACGTCAAACAGCCTGCGGGCCTGGTCGGGGGGAGAAGGGAAGGAACCAGTCATTAAATGAGCATCTGTCTGGTGCATCCAGAGTGGGCTTTGGTTCTTTTTCTCCCAGTCTGGCTGTGTGAGGCTGGGCTGCCCCTACCCCCCACCCCCCCACTCCCCCCTCTGAGCCTTGGTTTCCTTCATCTGTAGGGCAGGCACCATGGGACTTCTGAAACCTCAGAACTTTGGGATCTGGGGTCCCATTGATTGGGGGGCCCCCACCTGCACCTGACCCCTAAGCTCACTGCCAGAGTCCTTACCTTCTGAGGCCCCAGGCCTGGACACAAGGCCAGATCTTCCCGAGATGCAGCTATGAGCTGTTCCAGAGACTGAGAAAGGGGGGAGCAAAGGGTCAGGGGAGGCGAGCACCAGAACCTGTGCTGCCCCAGTTCGTGCGGGACCTGACACACTCCAGACAGGAGGTGAAGTCTGGCGGGAGGGCACGGGGGGGGGGGGGGGCCGGGGTGCAGAAGGCAAAGAAAGGGTCAGGGGTTTCCTTGAAAAGGCGCGAGGGTAGAAATGACACAGGAATGAGACGCAGGAACCCCTCCTTACCCCGAAAGTAGTCAGGAGGGTCTGACTGTCGGTTTTGTTGACTGACTTCACGGTGGTCAGACAGTCAGTCACCTGGAAGGGGGAGGAGGCAGCGGTGTGTCGGGGAGGAGAGCAGGACTGAGCCCCTGGGGGTGGTGCTGAGTCACAGCTGTGTCCCCAGGCTGCCTTGCATGCAGGAGGTGCTCGGCAAACACCTTTTTGGACCGATGAAAAGATCATCTCAGAGTGACGCCCAAGTAGCTTTGAGGGTCGGTCACGTGATGAGAAGATAAATGCCACTTGCCCCGAGCTGGGTCAGCCCCTGGGAAGACCGTGGGCTCTGAAGTCGGAGCCGTATTCAAACCCAGACCCCACCGCTTACTCTCTGTGCCGTGCTGGGCACAGGGACTGACCTCCCTGGGCCTCCATTTGCAGGCACATGGGGGTCCTCACTGTACCCACCCACCTCAGGGGCGGCTGCAGGCACCCACCATTACTCCGTCATTGGAGCCTGGATTTAACGGTTCACTCAGCAAATACTCCCTGAGTGCTGGGGTGCTTGGGGACACAGCAGGGACCAGCTCTGCCCCTCTGGGGCTCCCAGTACAGAGTGGGAGGCAAATTAGCTCCAGACAGCGGTGACCCAGATGGGTAGGGATGGGGAGGTCTGATGGGAGCCCTTGGCCTGGCCTGGAGATCAGGGAGGGCTTCCTGGAGAAGGGAGCATCAGAGCTCAGATGTGTACAAGGGTATCTGGCGGCCCTGACTGGTGTGGCTTAGTGGGTGGGGCGTCGCCCTGCAAAGCCAATGACTGCTGGTTCGGTTCCCGGTCAGGGCACGTGCTTGGGTTGCCAGCCAGGTCTCTGGTTCGGGGTGTGTGAGGGGCTACGGATTGATGTTTTTCTGGCACATCGATGTTTTTTTCCCTCCCCTCTCTCTAAAAATAAATAAAATCTCTAAAGAAAGAAAGATGGGATCAGACAGACGGCAGAGGGAACAGTACGGCCACACTTAGAGAAGCGAGGTACGCCTGAGAGAAGGGACAGAGCACACTAGGGCTGGGGGCAGAGGGGTTGGCAGTGGGACTTTCCCTGAGGGCACTGGGGGGCCACGGAAGTGTTTGGAGTGGGGGATGGCGGGATTAGGCTTGCTTAGGTGTCAGAGGGAAGGCTGGGAGCTAAGGGTGGGCCTGGGGAGGAGAGGCCTGACTTGAGATCAGAACTGAAGCTCAGACGCCCAGGAAGAAGCTGGGGGGGGGCCCAGGCAGGGAGGGGACGTGGCCTCACCCGGGAGACGAAGTCCTGGTCCAGCTTCTCCATCAGGAGGTCGGCCGGCTTCTGCTCGTAGGCCTTGTAGGTCTCCAGGTAGCGCCCGGCCTCCTCGGGGCTAGGGTCCGAGGGAAAATGAACATTCTTGGCCTCCTCTGAATGCCCCCGGGGGCAGCAAACCCTGCTGGGTATATATCTTCACCCATCTTTTCTGGCTAAAGGCCAGAGCTTGGGACCCCGACCAGTTGGGTTCACAGCCCTCTTCTCACCTGAGTGACCCTGGGCCAGTGATTTGAATCTCTTTGGGCCTCAGTTTCTCATCTGTGAAGTGGGGTGGTTGGCAGAACTGTGACAAATACTGGTAAGTGAGTCAACACTCTATAAGCGCCTGGCACTTTGAAGCCTGTCGAAGAACTGTTAGCTATTCTGGAAGGGAGGTCAGCGCTGGGAGCTTTTGCACGGGGCTCGACAGAGGGAGACCTGAACTACTGTCTGTTTTCCCTGTGGCAGGAAGACGGCCTCCTGAGCTTCCAGCTTCCCGCCACCAAGGAAAGCAGCTTCTGAAAGCGTTTCAGAAAAGCCCACCTTCAAAAGGAAAGCCCCAGGGGGCTGATGGCTGAATCTTTTATAGCAACAAGCGTGACTTAACAACCACCATTAATTTTCACAGTGCTTTGTTTGACATGTAATTCACTGTTTCAAAGGCAGTGGAAGCAGCCCTGGCTGGTGTGGCTCAGTGGATTGAGTGCCAGCCTGTGAACCAAGGGGTTGCCAGTTTGATTCTTGGTCGGGGCACATGCCTGGGTTTCGGGCCAGTCCCCAGGGCGGGGCACATGAGAGGCAACCACACATGGATGTTTCTCTCCCTCTCTTCCTCCCTCCCCTCTCTCTAAAAATAAATAAATAAAATCTTTTTTAAAAAAAAGTATAGTGGTACACACCCGGAGGGAGGGCACAGAATTACAAACACCCTTTTGCTTAATAAACCTATTCCTGCCCTGGCTGGTGTGGCTCTTGACTGAACACACCGGCCTGCAAACCAAAGGGTGGCCAGTTGGATTCCTGGTCAGGCCACAGGCCAGGTCATGTTCCTAGTCGGGGGTACGTGAGGCAACCACACAACCTAGAGAGAACCTGATGTTTCACTCCCTCTCTTTCCCCTTCCCTTCCCCTCTGTCTTAAATAAGTTAAAAAATTTTTTTAAGTTTTTAAAAATTAAAAAAAAAACATTCCTGAAGTTCAGGACAGAGGTAGGAGTGTTGGTGGTAACAGCAAAAGGGAGAAAGACCCCCCCCAAGTGTCCACCAATAGGGGTTTGACCCGATCAGTCTACACAGGGGAATAATACTCAGCAGCTGGAAGAGAGTGTGAGTCCAGACAATGGCATGTTAGTCACCCATGAGAGAGTCATCAAGCCCTGGCCAGTGGGGCTCAGTTGGTAGAGTGTTGTCCCGAAAACTGAAAGTCAATGGATCAATGTTCCTTTCCCTCTCGCTCCCACCTCCTCTCTTTAGAGAAAAACCAATCAGCATGTCCTGGGGTGAGGATTAAAACAGAATAAAACAAGACAGTTGCCATGCCCTGGGCAGGTGGTTTGGCTGGAGCATCCTCCCGTGCACCAAAAAGGTTGCGGGCTTGATTTCCGGTCGGGGTACGTGCCTGGGTTGTGGGTGCACCGGCAGGAGGCAACCAGTGGACGTCCCTCTCCCATCAACACGCGGGAACCTTAAAAGCGTATATCTAAGCGGAAGGTGCCGATCTGAAGGGGCCACTGTGAGGCCATGGGAAACCTGCGCCGGCCCTGCCCCCAGTTCCCCGCACGGAGCTCCTGAAGCCCTGGTACCTTCCCAAGTGGTCAGAGCGCTGGGAGCATGTTTTGTTCTAATGGGGTGACTCCGTGAGCCCTGGATGGGGGCTGGTCCCCACAAAGTCCAAGCCATGATTAGTAGCTTGGAAGTTTCGGCCCCTCCCTCGTCCTCCAGAGTTGGCAGAAGGTCTGCAAAAGAGTTAATAATTGACCGTGAGGGAGCCTCCAGGATATCGCGACGGTGCAGCGTTGGAGAGCTGCCCGGCTGGTGACCACATCCACACGGCGGGGCTGACTCACCCCTCTCCGTGGGGGCGCACACTCCTGCCCTTGGGACCCACCCAGACCTCCCCCGATGTCTCTCTCCACCTGGCTGTTCATCTGTATCCTTCACCATATCCTTTAATGAGCTGGTAAACAGAAGTCCGCGGTCCGCTCTAGCAGATTAGTCAAGCCCGAGGAGGCCGCCGTGCAAACCTCCATCTATAGCCGGTAGGTTGGCTATAGCCAGGTGGTTCCGACCGGCGTCTGCAGCTGTGTGATGGGAAAATCTGGTGGCCCTGGGCCCCTGACCTGTGGATCGGACTTGGTCTCCAGGCAGATAGTGTCCGAATGGAGTTAAAGTGCAGGGCACCCTGCTGGGGGCACAGAGAATGGCCGGGTGAGGGGAAAACCCCACACATTCAGTGGCCCAAGGTGAGTGTTTTGTGAGTAGTAACAGGAGAAAGACCCGCAGTGGGGCAGGGCTGGGTTTTTCCCTACCCTCGAGAACCGTGTTTTGTTCTATTAATATTTCAGCTACATACTGTAGGATCTCCGTAGGACATTCTGGAAAAGGCAAAACTGCGGAGGCGGTAAGATCAGTGGTCGCCAGGGTGGCAGGGAAGGAGGGAGAGGCAAAGTGCAGGGCATTCTTAGGACAGTGAAATATTCTGTAGCATGCAGGAATGACGGACACGTGACACCTCTGTCAAGACTCACAGAATGAAAACACAACAAACAAACGTACCACACTAATTACACTAATTAATGCAAGATGTAAACAGGAGAAGCAGTAGGTAGGAGAGGAGGGGTGTGTGGGAGCTCTGTACTCTCTCATCACTTTTTCTATAACCTTAAAACTGCTCTTACATAAGGAAGTCTATAATTAGTTCAGAAATGTGGACACTGTGCTGGAACACTACACAGCTGTTAGAGAAAAAGGAGGTGCCCTGGCCGGTGTGGCTCAGTTGGTTGGAGCGCCGTCCTGTAGACCAACAGGTGGGGGATTTGATTCCGGGTCAGGGCACTTAAGAGAAGCCACTGATCGATGTTTCTCTCTCATATCAATGTTTCTCTCTCTCTAAAAGCAATGAAAAAAAGGTCCTCAGGTGAGGGTAAGACAAAACAAACAAACAAGCATGAGGCTGCTCTCTACATTGACATGGCGGAGACTTCCGGATAGGGACGCAGCCGGGCGCAGAGCGGAGGCGGACGGCACCGACCCATGACAGGGACTTACGGTTTTGGGATTTTATCGTGCTGCAGACAGTGATGCCCCCTCAGTGGAAACTGGCCAGGCTAAGCTATGATGTTCTGCAGGGTAGGTGTAGTAAGTGCATTTTGAAAAAGGATTTTATTTATTTATTTTTAGAGAAAGGGCAAGAGAGGGAGCGAGACATCAATGCAAGAGAGAAACATGAATCTGTCACCTCTCGCAGGTGCCCCGACCGGGGACGGAACCTGCAACCCAGGCGTCTGCCCTGACCGGGGACCCTGTGACCTTCTGCTTTGCGGGACAACACCCAACCCAGTGAGCCTCACTGGTCAGGGCTATTAAATGCATTTTCAAGCCCTGGCTGGTGTAGCTCGTGGATTGAGCACAGGCCTATGAACCAGAGGATCGCAGTTCAATTCCCAGTCAGGGCACATGCCTGGGTTGCAGGCTGGTTCCCTGCAGGCCAGTTCCCAGCAGGGGATGCATGAAAGGCAACCGTACATTGATAATTTTCTCCCTTTCTCCTTCCCCTCTAAAGATAAGTAAATAAAATCTTTTAAAAAAATGCATTTTCAACTTACGACATATTCTACTTATGATGGGTTTATCGGGTTGCGTAACCCCGTCGTAAGCCGTAGAGCATCTGTACACAGTATGCTTACTTCTGTCTAAGAAAACGGAAGTGTTTAGCACCTGCTGCTTGTGTCTTCTAGAAACAGTGGAAGGAAACCGAGAAACCAATGACAGTGATTACCTGCGGGGTCGGAGGGAGTGGAGTGGGAGGGAGGGGGCGGAGGAGAGACTTCGCTGTGTATATTGCTCATTACACACACACACACATACACACACACACAGAGTGTATATGCAGAGGTTGGCATGAGTTTACAGTTGTGAGTATGCGAAAGTGTGCTTGAGTATAGCAAGAAGATAGTAACAACGTGTAAATAATGAAGGCCAGCCTTTTGGGCTCTTCCAAGACTGTGCCCATGACATTCTTTTTTTTTTTTAGATTTTATTCATTTATCTTTAGAGGGCAAGGGAAGGAGAGAGGGAGAGAAATATCAATGTGTGGTTGCCTCTCGTGAGTCCCCTGCTGGGAACTGGCCTGCAACCCAGGCATGTGCCCTGACTGGGAATCGAACTGCAATCCCTTAGTTCACAGGCCTGCGCTCAATCCACAATCCCTTAGTTCACAGGCCTGCGCTCAATCCACTGAGCTACGCCAGCTGGGGCCCATGACATTCTTTTGAGTTAATGAAGCTGCTGTAATAAGTGTAACCTGCATGTCTTCTTCCATACACAGAAATGTACACCAACTTTTGCCCACCCCTTAAATATGCCATATATGATGTGTGTGTGTGTATATATATATATATATATATATACACACAATGTTTTTTATCTTTTTTTAAAAAGATTCTATTTATCTTTAGAGAGTTGGGAAGAGAGAGAAACATCAGTATGTGGCTGCCTCTTGAGTGCCCCCTACTGGGGACCTGGCCCCACAACCCAGGCATACGCCCTGACTGGGAACTGAACCTGCGACCCTTTGGTTCTCAGGCCGGCACTCAATCCACTGAGCCACACCAGCCAGGGCCTTCATTATTAGACTCTTTAAAAAAAAAATGGGGCACTTTGTTCTTATTGACTGGAAGGGTTTTTCGATACAGGGTCCGGCACAAATGACCCCCCTCTTTTACTACATAAAAATCTTTTACTACAAAATCATAAGCATGGAATGCTGTGACGTAACAGTGTCACACTCTAGCACACCATAGGACGTTGTAGGTGACGTGTTCAAATTGCTGTCCATTCGAGGGAGACACTCACATGCCCCACCAACTGCCCTCAGGGGCGCTACTTCTGCCGGACTCTGTAGGTAGTGTGTGTGTGTGTACTGAACATTTACATATGTTCATGAGTGCAAACATTTAAATATAGTTTATCATATCAACATAAATTACATGTCCACATATACATCAGGGACCTTGATTCTGTTATTTATGTAACAAGGCTTTTTTCTATTTACCATTAGCCTTTCAACTTTATTTACAGTATCTCTTAACTTCCGGAAGTTTCAAAGGATCATCTTTGCAAACCAGCTGACCTTTTCCTTTATGGCTTTTGGGGTTTGTGCCTTGCTGTGGAAGACTTTTCCTACCCCAAGATCTCTTGTAACATTTTTCTTGTAATTTTTAAAAAAACATTTGTCAGGACGGACGTTTTTCAAGCATGAGAAAGGGATTCTTTTTTCCCCAGCGGGAGAACCCGTGTCACTGGCCTCTAGACGCCTGGAGGTGGCGTGAACTATGCAGCCAGATTTCACGTCCCACCCATAAGTGACGAGCAAGGTCCCGAGGGTCCGATCTTGGCTACCTGCCTTTGTGCCCGCACCCCTACAAGATGAAGATGAGGGACCTACTTTCCAGGCGAGGAAACTGAGGCCAGAGAGTGGCAGCGCCTGCCTGGCCCAGGCCCACAGAGAGTTGGAGGGAGGCAAAGGGCAGAAACAGGGATGGCGCAGGGTAGCGCCGGCCCTGGGGCCGGAGCCTCGAGCTCACCTCCAGGCCAGGACCAGCGTGCAGTCCGCCAGGATGCACATCTTAGCCAGCTCCTTCAGCGCCTGCTGCGGGTCTTTCTGGGTGGAGAAGAAAATCAGAGTGAGAGATCTGTGGAGAGGCAAGGAATTCCAGTGTGAAAATGCAGGAGCCCCGGCGGCTGGGACCCTTCCTCTGCCCCGCCCCCCCCCCCCCCCCCCCCCCCGTGCCTGGCTCCTGCTGGGCAGGACAGGACCTGGGACAGCCCTGGTTCCATTCCCTGGGGGCTTACAGTCTGCAGAAGGGTCACACCCATCCCCAGACAGTGACAACCAGAGTGGCCTGGGCTGGGGCGGGGGAGGGGCCCTGCTCACCACGTCCACGTGGACCAGCAGGACCCGCAGGGCAAAGTTCTTCCCCAGGCTCTGCAGCCGCTGGTGGATGTAGTCTGGGTGGAGGTTGTGGTAGCGGAGGCTGAGGGCAGGGGAGACGAGGGCATGGGGAGGGCTCGTGTCCCCAAGGTCCCGGGAGCCCCTCCTCACTGGCACTAAAATGCAGAGCTGGGACAACAGTGCTGGGAGCTGAGGCTCAGGGAGGTGAGCGACCTCAGGCTTTGGAGAAGGGGCACAGGGCGACCTGGCTCCGGCTTCCTGGAGGGGTGGCCCCGGGCCGTGTGCTGAGGAAGGGAGAAGGCTTGGGCCTCAGAGAGTGAAGAGGAGACCAGTGCCCTAAGGAAGAGTGTGCCCCGGCCCTGGCCAGGGAGCCCAGTTGGTTAGAGAGTTGTGCTGATAGGCCAAGGTTGTGGGTTTGATCCCTGGTCAGGGCACATATAAGAAGCAATCATGAGTGCATAAATAAGTGGAACAATAAATCAGTTCCTCTCAAATCAATAAATGAGCCCTGGCTGCTGTGGTTCAGTGGATTGAGCGCCAGCCTGCAAACCAAAGGGTTGCCAGTTCAATTCCCAGTCAGGGCACATGTCTGGGTTGCAGGCCAGGTCCCCAGTAGGGGGCGCACAAAAGGCAACCACATACTGATGTTTCTCTCCCTTTCTTCCTCCCTTCCCCTCTCTCTCTGAAAGAAAAAGAAAGTAAACAAAATAAAATCAATATACAGATTTTTAAGGTGTGACTGGGGACATTGTGCAGCTGGTCTTGGGAAGCAAGACCTGCCCCAGGACTGTCGGCTGTAACCTCAGGGGACAGTGGAAGTGCAGGTGGGAGCGGGGATGGGCTTCTCCCAGGAATGAGAAGACATCTCTGCCCAGGAGCCGCCAGCTCTCCTGCCCAGAGGCAGGACAGGAGATTAGAAATTTCACACCCCCCTTCTGTCTGGAGAGGGGCCCCTGGGCTTACTGGGGGCGGAGGTCAGAGAAACCCTGGCCCTGGTCAAACACGGTCCAGGAGGCTGGAGTCACTCGTCTGGGACATGAGAGAGCCGGCCCCCAGCTCACTCAGACACAGGAGTCTGGAGCCACGAGGTGCTTCCAGGCCCAGCGCTGTGCCTGCCACACGGGGTCACGGCGAGGCCCACAGTCAACAGGGCCATGACTGGAGGTCTCCGTGGAACAGCCCCCCAGCACCGGAGCACACCCCGCAGGCCCCCCTGGAGGTGCGGCCGCTGCCCAGGGCTCACCTGAGGAAGAGGGCACAGGTGCTCTGACCCAGCACGTAGTCGGGAACCACGTCGCCGAATTCCCAGGGCACGTTGCGCACAAACTTCAGCACAGGGTTGCCCCTCTGGGAGGAAGAGCCAAAGCCATCAACAGGGATGACTCTGGGACGGACCGCCCCCGCCCCAGGTCCCCACCCCCACCTCCCCCCGCCCTCCCTCTGCCGTCAGCCTCACCCTCCTCCTCTCCCGACTCCTCCTCTGAGCGTGTAGTGTCCTTGGCTCCCCAGCTCTGACACGGGTCCCTCTCCCCCAGCCCTAGGCCTGAACTAAAGGGTCACTGGGTCTGTCTCCAGCCCAGCCCTGCCTTCCGGCCCAACCTGGTGTCATGTGGTCCACCAGGTACTTCCCCCTGGATGTCCACCTCACTGTCCAAACTGCCCTAGGCACCCACCCCCACCCCTGCTCCCAGCCCCATCTCAGGGACAGCCCGACTGCCCAGAGGCCCACGCTTGCTCCTGGACACTCCCCCGCACCTCCTCTAGGTAAGTACCCCCCCCAAACGTCCCCTCCTCCACTGCCAGCGCCGCTGCCAGGCCCTCACCCCGCCTCCCGCTGATGTCCTGCCCCAGTGGTGTCCCTGACTGACCATCCTCCAAAAGTGGCCAGAAGGATCTTCCTAAAGCACAAAGCACGTACCCCTCCCCTGCTCTAAATCCTGCTGTGGCTCCCCAGTGCTTTCAGCAGGAAGCCTCACGTGGCTCCACAGGTCAGGCCCCCCACGGCTCAGCGCCTGCCCAGCAGGCTCCTCTCACGGTCTATTCTGAACGTACCCTGTAGCCCAAGACTGAAATTCCCTGAGCAAGTCAAGCTCCAATCCATCCAGCAAGTATTTAATGAATGCCAGCTGTGTGTCTCAGTGTGCCCTGCTCTCAAGAGGGACATAGACATTAAACAAAACAATCTCACGGATGAACATGTAATTGCCAAGTGAGAAGGGATTTAGTTTTGCCCTGGCTGGTGTAGCTCAGTGCCAGCCTGCAAACCAGAGGGTCAAGAGTTCGATTCGCAGTCAGGGCACATGCCTGAGTTGCGGGCCAGGTCCCCAGGAGGGGGTGCACAAGAAGCAACCACACATTGATGTTTCTCTCCCTCCCTTTCTCCCTCCCTTCCCCTGTGTCTACAAATAAATAAGTAAAATCATCAAGAAAAAGGGGGATTTGGTTCTAAGAAGAGGTGGGACCCCCTCTCATGCTGGGTGTGGAGCGATGGGAGCGGCTGGGGCAGGGAGGGTCTGCAGGGGTCCTGAGTCCCACGAGCCCTGAGCCACCTGACCCATGGCAGCTGGAAGCCATGGGAAGGCTTTGTGCAAGGGAGGGGCGAGGTCCTGTTTTACTTTTTCTAAAGTTATTTTTTAGATTTTATTTATTGTTTTTAGACACAGGGGAAGGGAAGGGGGGAGGGGAAGGAGGAAGAAGTAGAGAAACCTCAGTCTCACACACCCCCAAGTGGGGACCTGGCCCGCAACCCAGGCATGTGTCCTGACTGGGAATCCAACGGGGCCAACTTTCAGTTCCCAGTCAGGTGCCTAGCCACTGAGCCACAGCAGCCAGTGGCTCGTGGCTAATTTAATTTTTAAAACATATGACCAGCCCTGGCTGGTGTAGCTCAGTGGATTAAGCGCAGACCTGCGAACCAGAGGATCGAAGTTCGATTCCCAGTCAGGGCACATGCCTGGGTTGCAGGCCAGTTCCCAGCAGGGGATGCACGAGAGGCAACCACACATTGATGTTTCTCTCTGTCTTTCCTTCCCTTCCCCTCTAAAGATAAATAAAATCTTAAAAAAAAAAATATGACCAAAAGCAAAAGGACAGACAACGACAGGAGGGGAGAACATGGCAAAACTGGAACCTTCACACACACTGTGGCTGGGACTGTACAACGATGCAGCATTTTAGAAGATAGTTTGGAAGTTGCTGAAAAGGTGACATGGAGCACAGTCATGTGACCCAGCAAAGCCACTCCCCGATGAGTTCTTAAGAGAACTGAGAACACACAGCTACAACAACGCATACACAAGACGGCTGAAGGGCCGAAGGGATTGCCTACCAATGGGTGAATGGATGAACGTGATGTGGTGAATCTGCAGACTGGAATACTACTCGGCACTGAAAAAGGAACGAGGCCCTGACACACACCATGGCCTACGGACGAGCCTTCCATAAGCTAAGGGAAGGAAGCCCAGCCATCAGCTGACGGACATCTGGGCTTCTTCCACTGTTTGGCCAGTGTGAATAACGCTGCGCTGAACATCTGTGCACCAGACAGTGCATGGACCGATATATTTTCACTTCTCTTGGATACATACCTAGGAATGGACTTGCCAGGTCAGGTGCTCACTCTGTAATTAAATGTTCAAGAAACTGCCAGACCGGTTTCCGAGGCGGCTGCACCAGTCTGCATTCCTCCCAGCAGTTTCTGGAGTTCCACTTCCTCCCCAGCCTCACAGCCCTTGTTACTGTGTCCTTTTTCTTCCAGCCGCCCTGCTGGCGGGAGTGGATCTCACTGTGGTTCTGGTCTGCATTTCCCCGATGGCTGGCGATACTGAGCATCTTCTCACACCCTCAGGTCCTATTCTTGTCTCTGTATAACCCTACCCCTAACGCCAGCTCCGTGGATTGTAGGGACTTTGTCTACTTCTTTTCCAGCACTCCATCCCCAGGACCTAAAACAGCGCCTGGCAACCTCTGAACATACCTGTGGACTATCAGTGGATGAGCCCCGATTTTTTTTTAAGATTTATTTATTCTTAGAGAGAGGGGAAGGGAGAGGAAAAGAGAGGGAGAGGAACACTGATGTAGGAGAGACATATCGATCGGTTGCCTCACACACACACCCTAATGGCGGACCTGACCTAGAACCCAGGTATGTGCCCTGACTGGGAATTGAACACCGGGAATTGAACTGGTGATCTTTTTTTTTTTTTTAATTTTTAAAATTTTAATTGCTGTTCAAGTACAGTTTCCTGTCTTTTACTCCCATCCCAGCCCACCCACCCAGCCCTCCTCCCTCCCATTTCAAACGCCCCCCTAGTTTTTGTCCCTGTGTCTTTTATATTTGAACTGGTGATGTTTTGCTTTGCAGAATGACACCCAACCATCTCAACCATGCTGATCAGGACTAAGCCCCCATTTTATCTTATTTATTATTTTATTTATTTTTAAAGATTTTATTTATTTATCTTTAGAGGGGACAAGGAGAGAGGGAAAGAAATATCAATGTATGGTTGCCCCTTGCGCGCCCCCTGCTGGGAACTAGCCTGCAACCCAGGCATGTGCCCTGACGGAATCAAACCACGATCCTCTGGTTTACTTAGTTTTATTTTTTTAAAGATTCTATTTATCCCTTAGAGACATGAGAAAGGAGGGAGAAAGAGGAAGAGAAACATCAGTGTGTGGTAGCTCCCCACACATCCCTGACTGGGGACTGGCCTGCATCCCAGGCATGTGCCCTGACAGGAATCAAACTGGTGACCCTTTGGTTCCCAGGCCAGCACTCAATCCACTGAGCCACAGCAGCCAGGACATGAACCCTCATTTTAAAGGCAGAGATGGGTTAAGTCACTTGCCTGAGATCAGACAGCTACTGTGTAGCAGCGCAGGGTTTGACCTTGGGCCTGTGTTCAATGAACAGGTTTTGAATGAAGGAACAAAACTGGGACAGGAAACACAGCTGCAGTGACACAGTGACACCCCCACAAGAACGACGGGTGTGTTGTGGACTGAATGTGTCCCACCAACACTGAAACCCTAACCCCCAATGCGATGGAATGGGGAGGTGAGGGGAAGGGATTAGGTCAGGGGGGTAGAGCCCTCAAGGAGGGCATCAGTGATCTCTAAAAAGACTCCAGAGCTACCTCACCCCTTCCTTCACTAGACACCGATTCTGCCAGTGCCTTAACTTTGAACTTCCCAGCTTCCAAAACTGTGAGAAATAAATGTCTGTTGGTTAAGCCACCAAGTCTGTGGTAGTTTTGTTATAGCAGAATGAGACATGTGGGGCAGCCTCAACCCACACACAGTAGTTGAATGCATGAATGAATGAATGCACTAATGAATGAATGAATGCACGAATGAATGAATGCATGAATGAATGAACGCCTGCATGAATGAATGAACGCCTGCATGAATGAATGAACCAAGGGCGCTGCTGAGAGTACAAAGGCTAGAACTCAGACCTCCTCCCACTGCCCACCAGAATGCCATCCCTATTACTGTTTTCTCGCACCAGATCTTCAAAACCCCACTTCTTTCTGCCCCTCCTCACCTGCCGGGGGCTCACAATGATGCTGTTGGATTTTGCCCCTGGTTTGGGAGCCTGGCCGGGGGCCTCCCCTGCCTGGGGCTCTGGCCCCTCGGGGTGTGTGGCTCTAGCTCCCCCTGCAGGTCCTGAGATGGCGAACTCAGCGTAGGTCTGCGGGGCTGCCTGGGCCGAGGTCGCCGTGGTGGGACAGCTCTGCGTGGATTTGAATAAGGGCTTGAGCTGTGGGGAGAAAGGAGGGGGTGGGATCAATACCTGATCCTACCTACTTCTCCCCAACCCTCAGCCTGTCCCCAAGGTCCCAGGAACCATCTTCTCTTCCTTGGACCCCTGTCATCACCTCCTCACCAGCTCCCTGCCTAACCCTCCCCCCAAGTCCATTCCCCACACTGTCTAACAAGTCCCTCAGCTGCTCATAGCCTGCCTCAGAATAAAAGACATAGCGGCCACCATAGCCCACAAGACTCTAGATCTGTCCCTGCCCCTTGCCTCAGGGCCTACCCGCCACCTCCCCCCTTGCTTTCTCTACTCCAGCCCCACTGGCCTTCTGGCTGCCCTCAAATTGTCAGACTCTCTCTGACCTCAGGACCTTTGCACTGGCTGTGCCCTCTCCCCACAGATGTCCCATAGATCACTCTATCATTTCTTCACGTCTCTGCTAAGAGGTCACCTCCTCAAAGAGGCAGCCCCTGACTGTCCTACTTGAGACTGCACCTTTCCCCCATCTTTTTACTTATTTATTTATTTATTTCTCTTTAGAGGGGAAGGGAAGGAGAGAGGGAGAGAAACATCAGTGTACGGTTGCCTCTCGTGCGTCCCCTGCTGGGAACTGGCCTGCAGCCCAGGCATGTGCCCTGACTGGGAATCAACCGCAATCCTTTAGTTCGCAGGCCCACGCTCAATCCACTGAGCTACACCAGCCAGGGCACACCCTATATCCTTAGCTCACTTTCTCTTCTTCACGGCACATAAGCAGCTCGCCGATTTTTTTTCCTGTGGGATGGAGATCTCAACGTTGCCAGATCCTTTCTTTGGTTTACCAGTTTTGTTTTGTAATGCAAAACCCTCCAATTCTCAAATGTCAGCAAGAAACTCATGCCTTGCAGGGTGCCGGCCACATAAACACATCCCGGGGCCACTTGGTCTTTGCCAGTTTGCGGCCTGTGCGTTGGCCTTCTCAGAATAAAATGCCCCGCGGTATTTTACAGACAGAGAATCTGGGACTCACAGAAAGCTGACCCAGGCTCCAACATCTCCTAATCCGCACTGTAGCCCCACGCGCCCTTCCCGTCCCCCTTCCTCCACAACGCCCCGCCCCGGCCTCCCAGCGGTCCCCCATCTCCCTGTCTTACCCCAGCAGGAGGGACCTCATCCTCGTCCAGCGGTATGAAGAATTTCTTCCTTGCGGGTGGCCCAGCGGACTGCCGGGCTCCCTCTTCGTCCATTCCAAGGTTCTCCCGGGGCCTGTAAGTGATGTGGAGGCGGGAGAGAGTGAGACATCAGCGTCTGCCTTTCCATCCCCCAGAAGGAACCGCCACTCACGGCCATTCTCCCCGCGCCCCCCCCCCAACGCCAGTAAAAAAAAAAAAAAGTATATCCCAGGTAGCCACAGCATCAAGCTGCAAATACCCAGCGCCCCAGGTTCTACAAAGCCCCGCCCGGAGGGAGCCTCCACCTGCGCCCAGCCCGCCCCACAAGGCCCGTCTGTCCTATTCATCAGGCCCTCACTGTTTCCCGCCTTCCTGGTGCCGGGCTCCGCCACTGTCCCCACCTTTCGTCCGTCCCGCCCCAGAGATCGCACCTGTATGCCCGCCCCTCGCTCCCTCTGGTCCCTCTCTGACACCCAACTATTGATTGGCTTCCACGGCTGCCAGTCGCTACCAGCGGTCTCCACCCCTCGAACCCTCCCACTCACCCCCCGCGGCCCTCCCAGCTCCGGCCCCCTGTCTCCGAGGTAGGACGACTCACCTCCCTCCCTCTGAGCTGCTAGATGAAGACCCCGAGGGAAATCAAAGCTGCCGCCCTCCCGCACGGCCAGCGCGGCCCCTGGCTCGCCGCACTTCCGGCCTCTCTAGCCCGCCAGTCCGCCCTCACCGTTCCCCAGAGAGCCGTTCCCGCTCAGCTCTCTATGGTTGCGGAGGACTGCGGAGTCCTGGGTGGAGAGAGAGCTGTTGTACTTTGCCCCTGAGCGTCTCTGGTTGCCTAGCAGTTCAATTTCAAAGCCCTGATTGAGTGCCTATTGTGTACTTGGACTCCGGACGGGGTTCAGTGAAGAAGAGATGGTGGCAGATCAAACTAAGTCCCTTCTCTCTGCACAACCTTGGGTTGGAATCCCAATTCTGCCACTGACTTGGTCTCAGTTTCCCCACTTATTCTTTTATTCCACACATATTCCCCCAAGCGGCCCGTCTGTTCCAGGCCCTGAGCCCGGCAGCGGTAGTGACACATAGGTGACTAACAATAGCCCCGAACCACCCTCCTGGAGCTCACAGCCCAGTGGGAAAGCCAGACCGGGTTCCAGTGACGACCCGGAGTGGGCAGGACTGAGATAGGAGACCTCAGTGGGACGAGGCAGGGTGTGTGTGGGTGTGTGGGGGGGAGGAGAAAGCTAACCCAGCCGGAGGGTCAGAAAAGACTTTTCTGCAGGAAAGGACATCTGAGCAGAGACCTGGTTGATGAGTTAGTATTAGTCATTTCCTGAAAGGATAGTATCACGCTGTTCTAACTTGCAACTCTGATTACTAAGGAGAGAGAACGTGTCTTTGTGGGTTTATTGGCCTTAGATATTTTGTCTGTTGTGAATTGCTTGCTCATATCCTTTGCCCATTTTTCAAAATGGCATGCCTTTTTTTATTACTATTAATTTGTAAGAGTACTTTATGGTTTCCGATTCTCTTAGTCAGTTACATAGCTTCCAAATATTTCCTTATAGTTTGTACTTTGTGCTTTAACTTTATTTATTTTGTCACAGAGAAATGCTTAATGTTTATTTACACCTATTTATCGATGTATTCTAGCTTGACTTTTGCTTTTGGTGTGTTGTTTAAAAAGTTTGCCATTCTCCAAGGTCATAAATATATCTTACCATTTCTTTTGAGACTCTCCTAGTTTTGAGTTTGTCTTTAACACACGTGAGACATTAGAAAATGCGCTAAGGCAGAATTTATGATGGATGTAGCAAATTGTCCTAACACCATTCATTTTAAGTCAGTCCTTTCTCCAGTCTTAACATTCCAGTTTTAACTTGTACCAAATTTCCATGTAAATATACAGATCTATGTCTATTGTTTCTGTTCTGTTTCATTGATTTCTGTATGTTTCTTGCCCTCATGCCATATTGCTTCATTATTTTAGCTTGATATGTTGTGCTGTTACATCAGGCAAGTCCCCTCTCTGTTCATTCTTGAATCTGTCTTTACCCTTCTCGTACATTTCCTGTTCTGGCTGGGCTTTCACAGTTGCTTTCCTAGATCTGGGAAAAACCCTATTGGGACTGAGATTGGAATCGCACTGAATTGATGGATTCATTGCACGAAAATCGACAGCTTTTTCATATCCATGAATAGGTTGTGTCTCTCTCTCCACCGATTCCAGCTTTTGTTAGGAGCCTACTGTAAAGGATTTTTTTTTCTAATTAACTTTTACTGATTGATTCAAGAGTACATTTCTTGTCGCTGTAACAAAGTACCAAAAACTGGGTGGCTCAAACAACAGAAATGTATCGTCTCGCAGTTCTGGAGGCTAGAAATCCAAAGTCAAGGTGTTGGCAGAGTCATGTTCCCTGGACTCTCGCTAGGAAGGCTCTGCTCTAGGCCTCTCTCCCAGCTTCTAGTGGCCTTACGTGTTCCTGGGCGTGTAGCTGGAGATCTCCCTGGGTCTCTTCCCTTCATCTGCCCTCTGTGGGTCTGTCTCTCCATCCAAATACCCCTGGTTTATAAGCATGTCAGTGGTATTGGATGAGAGCCCATTCTAATGACCTCTTTTTGACTTGTTTACCTCTGAAAAGACCTCATTTCCAAATAAAGTCGCATTGTGAGGTTAGGACTTCAGTATATCTCTGCGAGGGGACATGGTTCTACCCATAATGATTCTGTTACTTTTTATAACCTCCTTTCCTCTGAATTCAGTTGACTTCGTGCTAGAGTACATTTTATTCTTTCACCGATTATTGTGGGTAGTAACTCTCTGAGTGTGTTTTAATTTTTTAATGTATTGATTTTAGAGAGAGAGAGAGAGAAGAAGGGAAAGAGGACTGGGAAGAGAGAGAAACATCGATCTGTTGTTCCACTTACGTATGCACTCATTGGTTGATTCTTGTCTGTGCCCCGACCGGGGATCGGACCTGCAACCTTGACTGATCCGGAGGATGCTCTAACCAGCTGAGCCATCTGGCCAGGGCCTGTCTGAGTTTTGCTCATCTGAAAATATCTTTATTTCACCCTCACGGCTGGAATCTCAAATTCTGCGTTTGTAGTGATTTTTCTTGCAAAATTAAAAGATACTGGTCCTTCATTTCCCTGACTTCTGGGTTGCCGATGAGAAGTCTACCCCCCCCCATCCCCAATTCCCCTTCCTTTTCTAAGCAGTATCATCACTGGGTGAGATTTTTTTCCAGGGTGACTTACTAGCAGCGTGACCTTGTACGAGCCACTCAGCTGCTGCGTGCGCCGGTTTGCTCATCTGTAAAATGGGGATGATAATAATAGTATAATTATTACGAGAATAGAATGAGTTATGTGCAAAGTGCCTAAAACAGTACTTGGCATGGTACTACTCTCTTTAGGCTTGTCATAGAAATAAAATAACCCTGGGCCGGCAGGAGCTGTCGCAGCGGCCGCTGTAACACAGTGCCCCTACACACGGCCGCGCCCCGAAGCGGTGACCAACCCGGATGTTCTGAGAAAGAATGAAAGACGCAAGCCAAGCCCTAAGGCAAGCGACTGCACCACTGGGAGCCTCAGTTCCCCTATCCGTAGTCGCTGAAGTTGTGAGAATTCAGCAAGACCAAGCAGACCCATCTTGAGAGATGGATTGGTTCACACATTCCATGAATTGTTATGTATTGAGCACCTACTATGTGCCAAGCACGTTACGAGCAGATCAGACGAGGTCCCTGTCCTGTAGAGCTGACACTCTCACAGGGGGTCATAGACCATAAGAAGAAAACATACAAATAAATTTCAGACAGCCATACCTGCTATGAAGGAAATAAGACATAACTCTGTGCAGAGCAGGTGAGGAGGGGAGGGGCACAGAGTCGCAGGGAGGAGGGCTCCATACGTTATAAATATCAACATCGACTAGATTACCATCAACACACAGTAGTTTTCCCTTATCTCTGGTTTTGCTTTCTATGGTTTCAGCTGCCTGCGTTCCGCTGCGGTCTCAAATATTCAATGGAAAATTCCAGAAATGAGCCATTTGTACGTTTTAAATTATGTACTAGAAAAGATTGTCTCTAATTAATTTTTACTTATACAATTGATTCATGAATACATTTTCTGTATTAGTTTCCTGCTGGGACCAAGTACCACGAAGTGGATGGCTCGAACAACGGAAACGTATCATGTTCAGTTCTGGAGCCTAGAAGTCCGAAATCAAGGTGTTGGCGGGGTCATGTTCCTTCTCACGGCTCTAGGAAGGCCCTGTTCCGGCCTCTGGCTCCGTCCTGCTCCGACCCACCCAGACATGAATCATTCCTTTGTCCCGCATGTCCATGTCTTATAGACGCTCTCCACCCCTTAGTCACTTAGTGGCCCGCTTCGTTATCAGATCGACCGTGGCTTATCACGGTGCTTGGGGTCAAGTCACCCTGACTTTACTTAGTAATTGCCCCAAGGGGCAGGAGCAGCGATGCTGGCCATTCAGACATGCCAAAGGGATGAGCATTGAGCACTTACGATGAGCTAAGGCCTCACAATAACCTCCCCCTTAGGCGTCCTGAGTTCGCTTGACAAATGAGGGAACTAAGCTCCAGCGACACGGAGGAGGACCAATGAAATGTGTCTTTGAGTCCAAGGGCAGAGAGCGTTTCTAGAGAGAACAGCGTGAGCAGGACTCAGTTTCTCCCGCTGGGGAAAGGAGCCTCCAAGGAGACCTGCAGCTCACGCCTATTCCGCCAGGGGGCGATGGCGCCCCACGAGAGGATCGGCTGCTCTGCCAGGACCCACTCGGGGACAAGACTCCAGAGAACGCGCCGTGCTTCGCTTCGCACGACTCGTGTTTGTTTTGCAAAAGTGAGGCAAAGACGTCGCCGTGTGCGGTTCATGTAACTCTGAACCTATTTACAGTAGTTACGGGGAGGGCGGATAGTTGCCCTCGGTTCAACATTATTTGCAAATTTGATTCACAAATTGACCTTTCTCACCCCGGGCTCGAATCTTCCCGAGCCCAGAGTTGCGCGTTGGAATCCTCCAGAGGCCGCTGCAACCCTAGGTGCCCCCCGCGACTCCTGGGTCTGGCCCCTGCTCCACTCCCAAACCTTCCCCTAATCCCAACTTGGAGTTCTCCCTGCGCCCGGTGGGGGTGCTGTAGAGATGGAGAATATGGGGACCTCCGCCCCCAATTCCGTCCAGGAGGCTCTGGGCGGGGGACAGACGGAGGCCGGAACGAAGGCTCTGGAAGCGGGAACGCAGCCTAGGGACGCGGTGACCCGGCCGGTGTCCCCTCCCGCCTCTAAACTTAGCCGCGGTGACGTGCGGCCCGGCAAACGCTGCGGGGCTGGAGACACGGGGTGGGGGTGGGGGGGCAAGCCAGGGCCACAGCTCCGCTCCACGAACCTCTATTTATAGCGCCCAGAGCCCGAAATAGCGCGGAGTGGAGCGGCTGGGATGACGCGGGAGCTGCGGGCACTGACTCACCCGGACCCGAGCACGCCTCCCCCCCCCACCCGTGAGGGGCAGTAGAGGCGCCTGGCCCCGACCCCGCGCCCTCCCGGGCACCTCTGCTACTGGGACATCCCAAATTTCTACTGGTCGCCACTGTAGATGGATACAGAGCAAAAGAGGGGATCTGCAGCGTGAGAGACTGAGGTTAGATCGGAGGTGGGACTTCCTACAAAGAGCACAGAATCTAGGAACTAACTTACACAAGAACAGAGGTTGGGAAGGAGGAAATGAACCAGAGAGACACACCTCTGTGTCACCAGCAACAGGATAGAGGCATCTTGGGGACAGAGGAATGGACACAATAACCTGGCCAGCCGCCAGGCCAGAGCATGTCCCCTTCTCCACCTGCCGTAGCTCCTTGCATGCCCTTCCCTGCCTACTCAGTCTTAAGAACTCATGCTTTTCCATCGTCCTTTCGTGAAGGATAATCCCTCACATAAGAAAACTCTGTGACCCACTAGACTGGGAGCCCCATGAGGGCAGGGCCAGGCCTTCCCCAGTGATCACCATGTCCCCATCACTGCCCGTCCTAAGATGGGTCTCTGGAGAAATTAATTGCAGAATAAAAAGTGTTGGTAATAACAAAAAAAATGAGGCAATGTGGGTGGTAAGCAGCAGGCCGGTGGGGAATTCTGAGAGTTATCGCCTGTGGGTCTCTCTATGACCCTGAGGGGAGGTGCTTTTATTACTTTCAAACCATCCCCCCCATTTTAGAGATGCAGAAACCGAGGCTCAGAGATATCTGAGGTCACCTTGCTAGTAGTCGCAGCTGCCTCTTGAGCCAGGTCGCTTGGCCCCGAAGGTGTCCAGTTCCCAGGATACTGTCTCAAGACTCTAGAGAACCCAAAGCTAAGGGGGGTACTTCTCAAAGTACAGCCCACAAAATCCGGGGCGGGGGCGGGGGCCAGCCCTCAAAAAGATCTATGAGGTCACAATGATTGTTGTAGTAATATTAAGACACTTACCCGCCTTTTGCACTTTCACTTGTTCCTGAGTGTATGTGCGGCCTGTACAGAATCGCGACATCGTGACAGACAAACCCAGAAGCAGTTGTGAAGACCCAGACGTTTTCTCCTGAGCCAGACATTAAAATAATACAAAAACATTTGTAAAGATTTTATTTATTTATTTTCAGAGAAAGGGAGGGAGAAAGAGAGGAACACAAACATCAATGTGTTTGCCTCTTGCGCGCCCCCTACTGGGCACCTGGCCTGGCCCGCAACCCAGGCATGTGCCCTGACTGGGAATTAAACCAGCCACCCTTTGGTTCTCAGGCTGATGCTCAATCCACTGAGCTACACCAGCCAGGTAAAAAAAAAAAAAAAAAAAAATTATTTAGTAATTAAATTTCTAATGATTTGTTCTGAAATATATGATCTTTTAAATTTTATTTATTTATTTATTTATTTATTTATTTTTAGACAGAGGGTAAGAGAAAGAAGTATCAATGTGTGGTTTTCTCTTGCGCAACCCCCACCGGGGACCTGGCCCACAACCCAGGCATGTGTCCTGATTGGGAATTGAACCAGTAATGCTATAGTTCCCAGGCCCGCGCTCAATCCCCTGAGCTACACCAGGCAGGGCAGTTTTTATTACTTTTAATGAAGCCATTATTTCTGAATTATATTAGTTTTCATTTCCAATACAGTAAATATTGACAGGTATAATTCACATCAAAAAAACTCTTTGGGGATCCTCAATAATTCTTAAGACTGTAAGAGACCCTGTGGCCAAAAAGTTTAAAAATCATGGCACTAATTAATAATCATATAGACCTGACATTGGCCATCAAGAACAAGAATGGGGAGACAGGGTTTTAACTGGGGGTGGGGAATGGGAGGGCAGCAGAGTCTTCTGTCAAAGGAGCATTTAAGAAGAGAGGTAAAAGATAACTGGAGGGAGAGATTGCAAGGCAGCAGGAACCGCATGTGCAAAGGCCCTGTGGTAGGAAATTGCGAGCTGAGTTAGAGAAACATAAGCAAGCCCTGTATAGCTGGAACACAGAGAGCGAACAAGAGAGAGACAAGCAAGAAATGAAGCTGTGCAATCAAGGGACCAGATTGCTAAGGACTTGAAGGCTGTAGTAAATATTTGGGATTTTATTCTGAGTGGAGAGTGCTTGGTAGGGGGCAAGGATGGAAACAGGAAGTCCGGGGTGGAAGAGACTGGAATTGTCCAGGGAAGATCAGATGGCAGCCTTGACTAGGGTGATGCTGTCGAGAAGAATGCTTAGGTATGAGGGACTGGCAGTAAGATGAACCAGAAGGACGGACTGGGAAGGAGGCTGAGAATTCTGACAGAGCCCTTGAGGGTTGGAGACGCCTTTAGGATGTTGCAGTGGGAATGTCAAGGACACAGGAGGGAGCTCGGGGCTCAAGATTGAAATCTGAGAGTCACCAGTGTACATGCAGATGGTACTTTTCCACTTTATTAACTCATTATTTTATTTCTATAATGTATAGTTGATTACTGCTATTAAATATTGCTGGTTGACCCTCTAACAGGCACTATGGCCAAGTTCTCATATGGAAGAAGTTTGTTGATTCTCTTAGGTTTTCCTTGAAAATGGTCCAAATGGCCGTTTTATCTCTTGCTGTCTGATGTTTACATGCCATTTATTTTTCTTGTCATATAGCATTTGCAAAGACTTCCAGGACTATGTCCAACTGTAAAGTTGATCGGTTCTCATATACTCCACATCACGGCTTTCTGAGACAACTTATCTCCTTATCCTTATCTCCTTATCTCCTTTTTATGGAAGGAGAAACTGAGGCACACAGAAGTTAGTCTCTTACCTGAGGCCACACATGAACTAAGCAACCAGACCAGAACTCCAGGCAAAGCTTGTATTCTCAACCACTGCCTTCAAATAAAACTCACTAACCATTCTATTTTTTTCTTCAAGAAAAGAATCTTTTATGTTGAAAAAACAAGCCCAGCACAGCCCAGCAGCAGCCCGTAACTGTTCAGGTGCTATCTTTTTTCTTTTTAACAGTTTATTTATTTTTGAGAGAGAGAGGGGAAAGGAAGGAGAAAGAAAAGGAAATAAACATGATGTGTGAGAGAAACCAGGATTGGCTGCCTCTCTCACACCCCCAGCTGGGCACCTGCCCCAGAAACCCAGGCCTGTGCCTTGACCAGGAATCGAACCAGCCAACCTTTTGGTCTGCAGGCTGCTGCTCAGTCCTCTGAGCCACACCAGCCAGGGCCAGTTGCTATTTTTATTTTAATCCTCACCCAATGATATTTTTATTTTTTGAGGAAGGTGGGGAGGTAGGGGGAGAGGGAGAATCGATGTGAGAGAACATCAGTCCATTGCCTCCTGTATTCACCCTTGATCGGGGAGCAACACACAGCCTTTCCACGGACCCAAGGGCCTGCCAGCTGCCTGGGCCACCCTGCCAGGGCCATCATTCTATGTTTTTTAAAAAATATATTTTATTCCTGGCTGGTGTAGCTCAGTGGATTGAGCGCGGGCCTGCGAACCAGACAATGGCGGTTCGATTCCCAGTCAGGGCACATGCCTGGGTTGCAGGCCAGTTCCCTGCAGGCCAGTTCCCAGCGGGGGACTCACGAAAGGCAACCATACACTGATGTTTCTCTCCCTCTCTCCTTCCCTTCCCCTCTAAATATAAACAAATAAAAAATCTTAAAATATATATATATTACTTATTTATTTATTTTTAGAGAGAGGGGAAGGGGAAGGAGAAAGAGTGGGAGAGAAACATCAATGTGTGGTTGCCTCTCATGCACCCCCTACTGGGAACCTGTCCTGCAACCCAGGCATGTGCCCTGACTGGGGAATCAACCCCGCGACCCTTTGGTTCACAGGCCCGTGCTCAATCCACTGAGCTACACCAGCCAGGGCTCTATGCTGTCTTAAATGGGCAAATATCCTGCAAGTTTCCGCTAAGACCCCGCGGTGCCCGGGGAGCTTCCAGGGGCCTGAGGTCTGGTTTCCACTCTGCCCTGTTTCCGAGCCTGCTTCCTCCTGTGATGAGGCATCTGAGAGGCACAGAAACGCTGCCTTCGTGGTGGAGGAGACAGGCCCACAAACAGATTGCATTCATTTCCTGTGACTGCGGTAACCAATGACCGCAAACTGGGCGGCTTAGAACGACAGAAATGTGTTTTCTCACAGTGCCGGAGGCCGGAACTCCGGAATCCAGGTGTCAGCAGGGCCGTGCTCCCTCCGAAGGTTCCAGGGCAGGATCCTTCCTTAACCATCTCTGCCTGCGTGGTCCGTGTTCCCGCGGCCTTCTGTGTGTCCGTCCGTGTCCAATCACCTTCTGCCCTTCTCTGGGAAGGACCCTCGCCGTTGGGTTTAGCGGCCCACCCGGCTAATGCAGATCTCATCTCCAGATCCTTACCTGAATCACATCCGCAAAGACCGTTCCCCCCTCCCCCAAATCAGCTCACATTCACGGGTCTCAGGTGACATATCTTAGGAAGGGAGGGGCCCTGCCATGCAACCCACTAGACAGATCAAAACAGAAAACACAAGAGGAAGAAAATATGCAGCTGAGTTTAGACTGAGAAGCGTCCAAAGCTTTGCCATTGGCCGCGGCTGTTGCGGCGCTGAATGCGGGCGCTCCCTCCGGGAGCAGGCGGCCGAGTAGCCTCTGCACGTCCACGCGCGGTTGTCAGGGGCCGCGCGCACCCCCAGGCTCTCCTGGAAATCTCCGCTTCCAGGATGGGACGTCTCGAAGACGGCTTTTCATTCTGCAGCTGTTAGTTTAAGAGATCTTTCTCTTTCACAGAACTCCAGATAATAACAAAAGCCAGCACAGTCTTAAAGGTGCTAGGTCCTGCTGTAAGTGTTTTGTGGCTGCCAACTGCGTTTGCTCATCAGAAAATACCCTGGGAGGTCTCGTTGGCGACTCCTTCTTTTTATAGAGGGATAAACCGAGGTGCAGAGAGATTGGATTGCAGCTTGCATCTTGGATCACGTTCCAGAGCTGTATCTGAAGCCCGCAGCTTAGAGAGTCTCGGGTCTTGATTGTGCTGAGCCACGCTGTCTCCCCGGGGCCCGCTGTCACTTGTTAAGTCCGGACTTTGAGGAACATGCACCCCCTAGATCCGTGACCAGGCCATTACCCATGGCTGTGCCACTGGCCACAGGAGACTCTTAAGTGCTTAAAGTGTGGCTAGTCCACACTGTGAGTGAAAAAAATCCACACCGGATTTCAAAGACTTGGTGTATGATAAAAACAATGCAAAACAGCTCAACCTGGCTGGTGCCGCTCAGTGGATTTAGCCTGTGAACCTATAAAGGTTGTCAGTTCGATTCCCAGTCAGGGCTCACACATTGATCTTTCTTTTCTTCTCTTTCTCCTTCCCTCTCTGTCTAAAAATAAATCATCTTTTTTTTTAATGTGGTCTCTTAAAGGACACTCAATTTCCTGCCTCCGTTCTACCTGGATGAAGAAGCTACTGAACTGAGAAAGGCCACAGTGACACACAGGACTCTGTGGCCGCTCTGTACATGAAATCTATTTTTTATTCATAAATTACATACCTGCGTGCCCCTACTGAGGATATTACAAAATAACTTACCAAACTGAGATAAGTAATCAACAGGACTGGCTGAGCCAGGCGGCTCGTGAGGGCATGACTTCAAATCCTGACTCTGTCCCCTGCTTAGTCTGGGATTCCTTCACTGAGTCACTTGTCCCCTCCGAGTCTCAGTTCCTTTATCCGGAAACTGGGAGTGTTTGCTCCCGTCCTCTGAGGGTGCTGGGAAACTCCGTGGGACCCTGTGTGCAAAGGACCCTGCATGCACAGCCCGGCAGAGACCCAGCTCCACTAGCCAGGTTAATCCGGGGGAGGGGCCTGGCTTAAGTGGAGGGAAGGTTTCTGCTCTAGGTTTCTCAGCGGAGGGAAAGGTTGAGTTGCACCTTGAAGGACTGAGACATAACCACTACGTGAAGTCAGATGAGAGAGGTGTTTCAGTGAAGGGAAACCAAATGTTTAAGTTCGAGAGGCACTCGGGAACAGGGTGCGTTTGGGAAAAGGCACGGAGTCTGGGTATTGCTTCAGGGCAGAGTGTGTTGGGGAAAGGGGAGGCAAGTGATGAGGTTGAAGAAGGCAGCCCCATTGAGGTCATGGGGGGCCTGTGGGTCAGCGGACTGGAGCACTAACTGGGGAGCCAGAGCAGACCCTGCTGCTGACCGGTGCAGCTTTGTGGTTTAATGAAATCTCTTCTAGAGAGATGTTGGGACTGGCAGGAGACGAGGGAGGAGGGTAAAGCACAATGAAGCAGGGTGTGGGAAGAGGGAGAACCTGTGAAATCTTTATTTTATTTTTTAAAATATTTTATTTATTTATTTTTAGAGAGAGGGGAAGGCAGGGAGAAAGAGAGGGAGAGAAACATCAGTCTGTGATTGCCTCTCATGGCCCCCAACCAGGGACCTGGCCCCAGGCACGTGCCCGGACTGGGAATCGAGCTGGCGGCCTTTGGTTTGCAGGCCCGTACTCAATCCACTGAGCTACAGTGGAATCTTTAAAAGGTAAAAAGGAAAGGAGTGATGAGCTATGGAAGGTAAGTGGAGGAAAACATCCAGGCTGAGGCGCAGGCCTCTGGTCCAGGAGTTGGCATCAGTGTGGGACTAGGTCAGAGCTGTAGAGCCCAGAGCAGGAGGCACAGGAAGTTGTTGGAAGTCAGGGTGAAATCCTGTGGGACATCCAGGGGGAGGCATCCAAGGTCAGTGAGACACTTGGGTCTACAGTGCAGAAGAAACGGCAGAGCAGAGACCGGGAGGCCTTTAGAGCTCAGACGGTGCTGAAATCCTGACAGTGGGAGAAACTGGTGGGTGCAGTGGGGTAACCTGACCAGCAGCCACCGATGACTGTGGAACGTGGACCCACCCAAAGGAGCAGCCTGGGCAGCCAGGTTCTTACCCCAGTCTATGCCTGGGGACACAGAGATGAGCTCACCCACACAGAGGAGCGCCTGCCCAGTGGGGGGGCCTACGGGTTCACAAGCAGCCCAAGCCTTCCCCGGGGCCAGTGTGTGATGAATGGGGTCTTCAAGGGGTGCAGTGATCCGTTCTCCAGGTTTAGGGGCAATGGAGAGTGTCAGGAACAGTTAGTTTCTAGGGGGCTTTGCAGAGGAAAGTGAATTAATTAGGAGTCTCTTAGCTTGAAGAGCAAGCATTAGGGAAATGTATTGGCCAATATTAAAACAAATAAATTTAAAAATTTAAAAAAGCTCAAGGAGCCCTAGCCAAGGTGGCTCTGTTGGCTGGAGCATCTTCCTGTAACAGGAAGGTTGCAGGTTCAATTCCCAGTCAGGGTACATACCTAGGTTGCTGGTTCAGTCCCTGGTCTGGGCACGTACAGGAGGCAGCCAATCTGTGTTTCTCTCTCCCATCAATGTTTTGCTTTCTCTTTTCTTCTCTTTTTCCAAAAGCAATGAAACTAATGTCCTGTGGGGAGGATTTAAAAAAAAAGGTCAAGGAGTAAACTCTCTGGCTTCAGTTATAGCTTGATCCAGGAGCTCAAAGATGTTATGAAGTCACTGTTCAATCTCTGGGTCCCATATTTCTCTGATTTCCCCCCCCCAAGACTTTCCCTAAGGTAGCAAAAATGACGCCAGTATCTCTGCACTCACACCTTACCCTCTTAGTGACTCCGGAGGAGCCAAAGTTCTGCCCAGTGAGTCTATCAGAAGAAATGAAATGCTCTGATCGGCTGGGCTCAGGTCCCATTCCCTTCCCTTCCGCATGGCTGGGGCGAAAGGGAGAGACAGGTTTCCTCATCTTAGTGGGGCGTGGAAACAGTACCTCATCCCCTAGATTTAGGGTGAGGGTTCAGTAAAACAAGGCAGGTGAAGCATTTAGCAGACTGCTCTGCAAAGAGCTGGTGCTAGATAAATGATAGTCATCATTATTATTTTTATCTATTGATTTTAGAGGGAGAAAGGGAAACATCAGTTTGTTGTTCCTCTTATTTTGGAGCATTGGTTGCTCCTTGTATGTACCCTGACCAGAGATCAAACCCATAACCTTGGTGTACAGGGATGACGCTCTAACCAACTGAGCTGGCCGGTCAGGGCTAGTCATTATTTTTTAAAATAGTAATCAGTATTACTACTCAGTAGATACCATTCATGGTATCTATGCTCTTATACTGGGAGGGAACAAGCTCCTGGAACAGGATGGGACCAATCTGAAGTGAACGATCACAAAATAGATGTTCATACAATCTACATTCTCCAAGCCCAGTCCCCAGCTGGGTCCTCTCCAGGTTTGTGCCTCCAGATCTGTGAAATGGGATGAAGGAATTGAATTAAACCAGATCTTTTCAGATGCCTGATCTCATCATTCAGGTTACAGTTAAGAGTCACCTCCTCAGAGAGAGACCTTTTATCCCCTTTGTTTTTAGATTTTATTTCTTTATTTTTAGAGAGAGGGGAAGGGAGGGAGAAAGAAAGGGAGAGAAACCTCGATGTGAGAGAGAAACGGCCATTGCCAGGCATGGGAACTGACCAGAATCAACCCACGACCTTTCACTTCGCAGGAGGACGCCCAACCAACTGAGCCACATCCGTCCGAGTTCCCTTTTATTCTAATATATCACTACATTTTACTTTCTCCTCAGTGCTTATCATAATCTGAAATCATCTTATGCATTTACTGTCTCCTCCACGAGAACTTCAGCACCAGGAAGACAGACATCTCCGTCTGTCTAGTTCACTGCTGTGTCCCCATCACCTAGCACAGCGCCTGGCACACAATCGACCCTTGAGAATTTGTTGAACGAGGAGATAAATATTAAGAAAAAGAAACAGTACCTAGTTTTCTGATAGATAATGAGTTCTCCATCAAGGGAGGTGTCCAAGCTTGGAGCTTGAACGGTCGTGCTTTGTAATTCAGATTGCAAGGCCCCAACCAGTTCCTCTCCCGGCCTCAGTTCCCTCATTCGGAAAATAGGTGTGGGCGGTGTTGTGGGGCTAGGGACTGGACTCTCCGGGTCCGGCTCCCGCCTGCGATCCCCGCAGGGGCCACCAGGGGACGCCGCTGCCTCAACGTCCGCCACCAGCCTCTGGAGCCCCCGCGGACGCGTCCCGATCTTCCTAGAACATTCCGAGCGCCGCGGGCTTCCAGGCGCCTGGGAGCCCGGGAGGCTGGAGCGGATGCGGAACGTCCGGAGCCAGCGTTCCGCGCTCCTCGCCGTGCAGGGGGCGGCGGGAGGCGGTGACTCAGACGCGCGCCCCCGGACCCCAGTTCTCGCGAGGGGGCGCGCACGGCTTCGGGAACCCGCGCGACGCCGGCTCCATTTTTACCCGAGCGCTGCTAAAAATAGTGGCCTTACTCTGAGCCGAACCCGAAATAGCGGCCCCCAGATAAGGCAGGACGACTCAGCGCTTCCGGGGAGCGGAAGGGGAGCAGCGTGAGGCGGCGGGGGGAGTGGTGCTGGACTCAGGCGGGCCCTGCCGTGCCCACCCCGTCCCGGCTTTCGCACCGGCCCCAAAGGGGACCCCAACCCCCATCCCACAGCTTGTCACCGGCCTTGCTTCTCTCCTCCCGTCTCCCTGCCTTCCCACCTCGTTCCCTGTCTCCTGGCCCACGGCCTCCATCCTTCATCGTCTACCAATGTGCCCCTCTCTATCCTAATCTTCGTTTCCGGCTCTGTCCCTTCCCGCCCCCCCCCCCCCCCATTCGGTCCCCAGCATACTGACCCGAAACCCTGTCTCTGTTCTCCCTCCCTACCCACAGCACCAAGCTTGTGCCTTTCAGGATCTGACCCTGCTGCATTTCAGCCTCTTAAGTGGGGAGGAGGGGAGGTCACAGGAAGAGGTCACAAGACCGGCACGCCGAGGGCTGGGGGTGAGGCTCTGACTTCATGGTTTGTTTTTAGGGTGGACGGGGTGGGCTTAGGTCTGGATCTGGGCCAGTTTCCTCACCCTGTGACCAGCCTCGGGCTTCAGCCTGGGGCCAGGTGCAGCTCTGCAGTCACCAAGGTTGGGGTCCCTGGGTCACCAGAGCCAGGGCCTAGTCTGGCACCGACAGTTTGGTTCACCAATCGCAGTTCCATTACGATTCTTTCCTGCTATACAAGTCAGTGATTGGACACAACAGAGCCAGGCAGTGGAAACCGCCAGAACCTTGCCCTGGACCTAGGTTCCCCCTTCGAACTTTCCTCTAAGGCACCTTCCCATTGTAATAATCCTGTGACTCTTCCAGTGCCTACTCCACGGCTCAGCCTCAAGGACCTTACCCTGCATTTCCCTGAAACCAAAGGCAACATTGTCAACATGTTCTAGTTTCTTATACCTCATAGGACAGAGGAACGGCCCGGTCCTGTGTGTCCCCAGGGAGCAGGGTGTAATAGACTGATATCGGTTCAGGCAAAAGTGCTTGGCTGTGGTGGAAAGGAGCCCTAAGGCGGTAAAGTCCCCCTTCAGTAGAGAGTATCTCATTTCAGCCAGGGGCACAGCTGTTATGTCAGCTGGGTGGCTGAGGGACTCAATCACCAGGCCAGGAGCTTGAACTAGAGGGTCCTTTAAGGCAAGAAGAATCATGTATTTGGGATCAAGGAATTAGGAGACTGGAAAAGTCAGCAAGGTGCAGGCCAACTTGGGCCCCCATGGGCTGTGGTGAGAAGCCTGGACTATTTTCCCAAGGGCACTGGGGAGCCATAGCAGGTTCTGAGCAGGGGAGGGACAGGATTTGTGCTTTACTAACCTCTTTCTGGCTATCTCCTGGAGGTGGAATAAGAAGGAGAGGGGGAGAGGAGGGGCCTAGGGGGAGGCAGGGAAGCAGGAGAGGGCAGATTTGAGAGACAGGAGGCAGGAAGGATCAGACTTGGTGGCTGAGAGGTTGTGAGGGCAAGGAGATACCCAGGATGAGGTGCAGGCCTCTGCCCAGGTGGCAGAGTGGATGGTGGGATCATTCCTGAGCTGAGACGCAGGAGGAGGGAGTAGGTGTGGGCAGAGGATGCTTACAGAAGTTTCTAAGTCAGCCCAGAGCTGGCAATTTTTAAATAATAAAATAAATTTCAGAAAACATTGGTAAGTCATTTTTTGAGGTATATGCCCTTTTGTAAATTTTCCTCCTCCCCCTGACCCCACGTCTCACTGTTGACGGTTTCTTATGACCTTGGCTAACAGGATTCACTGAGCTCTCACAATGTCCCCAGGTTGTGCTCATCTGTCACAGAAGTGACCTGGGCTCAAATGATTGCACTCAGTTTGTGGGCCAGGCGCCACTCATATGCCTATTTTAGAGAGGTAGAAACTGAGTCTTGTTGGAGAGGTGTCCTTTCGAGGCCTGGCTTAGAAGACTTTTCAAAACCAAAGGCATGTGAGTGGGTAAGATCAGAGAGGGAAGGTGCAAAATGCAACTACCCAGGGAGCTGGCGATGGTCATCGGGGAGTTGAAGGAGGGCTGCCTGGAGGAGGAGTGAGGGTAACCAGGAAGGTGCCTTCCAAGGCCCTCTGATGAAGGGTCTAAATCAGTCCCTTCAGGAAGCTGAGGTGCAATTAACAGCGTGGTAACGTCCCCTCCTCCGGCCTTTAGGGCCCCAGAGGAGTTTATTGGAGGGACTGCCTGATGACATCTGAAACATGACAGTAGCACAGCCAGCTCTTAGGATGTCTGAGCGATTCGCCAAATGCCTGTTACAACCAGCATCTGTAGTCATGCCCTGTGTGTGTGGGGGTGGTGGTGGTTGGTGAGAATAGGAGGAAGTGACTGGCCATGGGGTGGGGCTTGGGGTGACAGGGATGCAGCCATACAGAGACCAGGGACTCAGGAGCTGAGAGGTATGCCCTGCCCCCCCGCACTAGGGAAGAGTTTCTCAGGGTTGAGTGTGAGGATCCATGTTTGCTGGCTGTCTGGTGAAAACGTCCTGCCTTTACCGAGGTGTAGCTGGGATGGCGCTGGGGCTCAGAGTCAGGGGTCGGTCCAGGGACTTCTATTTGCTGTGGTGTCCCCATCACCTACGGTGGTAACTGGCACACATTAGGGGTTCGACACGTCTTAATTAAATAACTCAAATAAAAGGAATCAGTTCTCGTCAGCGATCAGTTTACTTTCTTGCCTAACAGCCTGGACCATCTGGCCATGTTAGCCAACCCCTAACCCTACCCAGGACCGCGTCCCAGTTTCCAAGGGGGGTAGAGGTGAGCGAGAAAAGGAATTTGCTCCTCTGGTGAACTCCGCCCACTGATGATCTCACAAGCCACTCAGGAATCCCGACCTGTGTCCTTCCCTCGGGACCGGGCGTGAAGAGGAACCCGGGAGTCCTGACTCCGGCCCCTCCCCCGAGTCTGGCGGTGTCGAGTCCCCAGGGGTGTCACCGGACGTCCTGGCTGGCCGGGGACAATGGGCAGGGAGCGCGAGTCCCGCTGGGAGCCTGGAAGTGAAGTGGCGAGGGCGCCCCCTCCTCTGATTCACCCTTGTTTCCGGCCTCCTCCTCAGGGATCCTTCTGTCCTCCAAACCCTTACTTCTTGTACCCCTTACAATCCAGTTCTTTCTTTGACCCTGCAAATCTGTCCTCTGCCCCTTGCCTGCCTCAAACGCCGTTTTCTTATACCTTCACTTGTGATTCCCCGATGCCCTACATTTCCAGTTTCCCGTGCCTTCCTTCACTCACCCATCTCGGGGCCCCTCTCCTGGCTTCTTCAAAATACCCCCTTTCTATTCCCGCCCTTCCCGTGGCACCCCAAGCTCCCCCCACGATCTGTTTCCTAAACCCTTCCCCACTTTCCTTTAAAACAGACGCCTAGTACTGTTTCTCGTCCCTAATCCCAGTCCGCCAGGCCCCTCGTCTCCCCGAAACTGCCCCAATATCCTGGTAGGGTCCCCCAGTACTATCCACCGCACCGCACCCCACCCCACCGCCCGAAACAACTTCGGGTTCAGGCCCCTCCCAGCACCAGGCCCGGGCCAGCCCGGGCCCCTCCCCGCTCTCACGCCCGGCGCAGGTTCCCAGGCCTCCCCCTCCCGCGGTGGCCTAGAGACCCAGTTTGCGGACGCAAAACATTGGTCTCCGGGCAACAGGCCCCGCCCACCCTGGGCAGCCCAGTGCGAGTCCCGCTGAGGCTGCTCACGTGGGTGGGGCTGGGCGCCCGGGGCCCTATCCCCGCAGGGCGCGGAGACCCGGAGACCCAGAGACAGCAACAAGGAAGCAGCCTACTTCCTACTTCCTGTAAGAGAGAATGAGGGGTGGTCCCTACAGGGACCCCCTCCGCCAACAAGAAGCTGGGAGACGTTCTGGAGACCGGAGGCATTTGGCAGCTGTCTGGGGCGCAGTGATTGAGAGAGGCCACCAGACCTAGTGAGCAGGGACCCAACCCGGAAATAAACACGAGATAGTGAGATGAACCCAGACAACCTCAGGCCGGCAGGGACGCTGGTGAAGGCAGGACAATCTGCCTCTGGTCCTCAGGGCCTTTTCTCTCTGTCACACGGAGTTTCCTGGACAGTGTCTCTGTCTGAAAAATGGGTAGCATTTAGTGGCTTTTGTGACAGTGGGGGTGTCGAGAGGACAACTCAGCACATCAGCCTACCTAGAGCTCACAGTACAATTCCTGACACACACCATTCGTCATCCATTCTTTCAACAGATACTGAGCACCTACTATGTGCCAGGCAAGGCACTGTGTGGTAAGTGCTGGGTGTACACAGTGAACATGGCAGACCTCTCTGTCCTCCTGGGAGCTTACACTCTGGAGGTGGGAAGGGGGTGGGGTGCTGAGCGAAACATCAACATAAATAAGCAAATTATATAGAACTTGAAAGTAGTAAGTGCTGGGAAAACAGGGAAGGAGGCATGGGGTTGGCATTTTACATATATTGTATCACATGTATACTTGCCATTATATATTTTTATTTTTTAATATATTTTATTTATCTTTAGAGGGGAAGACGAGAGAGGGAAACATCAATGTATGGTTGCCTCTCCTGCGTCCCCTGCTGGGAACTTGGCCTGCAACCCAGGCATGTGCCCTGACTGGGATTCAAACTTCGATCCTTTGGTTCACAGACCCGTGCTCAATCCACTGAACTACACCAGCCAGGGCCATATCTTTATTTTAAGGTATTACATGTGGCATAAAAGAAAAAAAAAAAGACCCTGCACTTTCAAGTTGGAAAAATATATAGATGGCTCATTTTGAAAAAATCTTTTTTAATTTAACGGGAAAAAAGTTCTGGCAGCA